GACATTGTCTTACTCTGCCACCCAGGCTAGAGTACAGTGGCACAATCTCAGCTCACTGCAACCTCCATCTCCCAGGTTCAAGCGATTCTCATGCCTCAGCCTCCTGAGTAGCTGGGGCTACAGGCGCCCGCCACCACGCCTGGCTAAGTTTTGTTATTTTCCATAGAGATGGGGTTTTGCCAAATTGGCCAAGCTGGTCTCGAACTCCTGACCTAAAGTGATCTGCCCAACTCGGCCTCCCAAAGTGCTGGGATTATAGGCATGAGCCACTGTACCTGGCCTTGTTGTTTTTAAGTAAGCCTATACTAAAACCAAAATTAAGTTACAGCCATTTTCCTATGTGAAAAGGCCTTTCTATGCTAACAAAGCGTGGGAACTATGAGGCAATGCGAACATATGGGCCACTTTGGTGGCCACAGGAGGATGGCTCGGTTGCTTCTCAGGACAACCAATTATAAGACCAACTTCTCTGTGTAATCCCCCAGATTGGGTTTGTGCTGTTCCCACTTTTTGGAACACCTGAATGGGACCAGAAGGATGAGGCCAACCTCATGTTCATCACCATGTGCTTCTGCTGGCACTACCTGGCTGCCCTCAGCATCGTGGCCATCAACTATTCTCTTGTTTACTGGTATGTCTAAGACTTCAGTGAAGCTTTTCCTCCTAACCCTAAGCAGGACTGATGTGATTAATTTGCACGGTCTGATGAGTGCCAACTACATCCCAAATCCTGTGCAAGGTATTCTCATGCAGGGAAGGTATCACTACCCTTATTTGCAAACAAGGGGAATGAGGCTTTTCAAAGTTAAATGACCTGTCACAGTAACCTGAGGGACCCAGGTTTCAAATGCAGGTCTCAGATTTTAAGCCTACGGTGTGGTGGGGAAAACTGAAATGGGAATCAGTACTGGATGGGAGACCCTGCTGTAACAGATTCATTCTGGGCCCATCATCTTATTTCGGGACCTGCCCTGCCTGCTTCCCAAAGATGATGTGACAATCAAAAAATAAACCAGAGCAGATGTTAAGATAAACTGCCCTCTACCCCTCACTAAAGTGCTCTTTAGAGGTATACAGATTATAACAGCTATGGACTCCTATGTACTTGCTGTGCCCCAGGCCCAGTGGAAAGGAGCTACACTCTATTATCCCATTTAACCTTCACTGCTTTATGAAGTATGCCCCATTATTTTTTACTGATGAAGACAAGGCTTCAAAAAGCTGACTAACTTGACCAAGGTCACCCACTAATAAATGGCAGTCTCTCTCAGCACAAGGGTGACTTTTAGCAAATGTTATCACCAGTTCTATTTGCTGTTCAGCTGCCCCTACCTTTTATTCTACGTCATTTCTTTAGATCCCAAGTAGATTATTAGGTTGGTGCAAAAATAACTGCAGTTTTTGCCAGTATTTCATCCAGAAAGAGTCCCACACAGACCAAAGAGAAGGGAGCTCAAGTCATTTTCTTTTAGTTCTGCTGCCCAGGCACTGAAACAGCAAACCAAGAGAGGCAGACCTTCGCCTCCACTGGCATTCAATCGTTTCCACCATCAGTCCCTTTATCTACTGATGAGTATTTTCTAAAAAGTCTGGTTCATAGACATAACCACAGTATTTGATAGAAACATAAAGAAAATACTTTAAGAACCAGTAGATGCCTTCACATCCTTGGGTACTGGATTAAGGGAATCTCTGGCTAATTGGCTCTTACTGTTTTTCTGTTAAAGCCTTTTGACTCGGATGAAGAGGCACGGAGGAGGAGAAATCATTGGAATTCAGAAGCTGAATTCAGATCACACTTACCAGACCGCCCTCATGAGTGGCTCAGATGAGGAGTGAGCCGGCATGTGAAGGGTGTAGACATCCCACTGAACAGCTGGAGTGAATGGAGTTTATCCCCTGAATGCCTGCTGTCGTCTGATTTTAAGTCTATGTATTTGCACTCCTCATTCAACACAAGGCTGGAGGTTCTAAAACAGGAAATCAGGCCTACAGCATCCAATATATCTTGCAGTTAGGATTTTTAAACATAATTTAAAGTCTATGTTGGTACAGTACCCTTTGTAAAGAAAAATGAAGTAATGCCTCTGAGCAGCAGGCCTTTGTGTCTCAGTGTAAAGAGAAATCAAGAGATGCTAAAAGCCTTACAACCGAAGTGGCCCTATGGATGAATCCAGGATATGAGCCCAGCAGGAGAACTTGCTGCTTTTGGTAACTTACCCCTTTTTCTCTTAAGAAAGCAGGTACTTTCTTATCAGAAATATGTTAGAATGTGTAAACAAATGACAGTGCCTTTAGGGTTGCAGGTCTAACTTACATATTTTTTATAAGTAAAATAATTCACAGGCTTTGGTATTTTAAAAATATTACTTATTAAATATATCAACTGAGCCGGGCATGGTGGCTCATGCCTGTAATCCCAGCACTTTAGGAGGCTGAGGCGGGTGGGTCACCTGAGGTCGGGAGTTCAAGACAGCCTGACCAACATGGTAAAACCCTATCTCTACTAAAAAGACAAAATTAGCTAGGCGTGGTGGCGCATGCCTGTAGTCCCAGCTACTCGGGAGGCTAAGGCAGGAGAATCACTTGAACCCGGGAGGCAGAGGTTTCAGTGAGCCGAGATCGTGCCATTGCACTCCAGCCTGGGCAACAAGAGCGAAACTCAGGAAAAAAAAAAAAAATCATAGAGTACTGCAACACTTCACTGTTTGTGACAAAATTAGGCCAAAGGTGATGTATTTTTAACTCCTGCCCTCCCTCCAAAGGTGATTTTTTTAATCAGGAAGCTAGTTACCAGCTCCACTGAGAGCTGGAGCCCTGATGTTCTGATTCCTCAAAGTCACCCTAATACAAGATCTGATAGAAAAGCTGTATAATGAGGTAGAAAAACGTCAGGTATGGAAGGCCTTCGATTTTAATATAGCTGAAATCAAAGGACATGAATCCTGAATTAGTAATGTGAAATCCTGATACCCTAATCTTGTTTCTGGATCTGTTCTTTTTTCTTTTTTAAAAACTTCCTTCAACAAATATTTATTAAACATCCACTTTGCAACAGCACTGACATGGCTGTAAGGACTCCTGAGGGAAGTGTCCAGTAAGGAGTTCCGTCGAACAGGAGAGACATGCTAGTAGTTACATCCACCGTGATGGGTGCCATGAGAGGCAAGTACATCCACCAAGTCCTTTATGTAAGTAAGTAAATAAATAAATGAGAAAAAGGAGAGGAGGGAAACGCGGACGGAGTTCGTCCTGTAGAAAAGGCACATCCCACGCAGGCTGTGGCACATTAAAAATGAAAGCACAGGCCAGGCGCAGCGGCTCATGCCTGTAGTCCCAGCACTTTGGGAGGCCGAGGCGGGTGGATCACGAGGTCAGGAAATCAAGACCATCCTGGCCAACATGGTGAAACCCGTCTCTACTAAAATACAAAAAAAATTAGCCAGGCATGGTGGTGCACACCTGCAGTCCTAGCTACTTGGGAAGCTGAAGCAGAGGAATCGCTTGAACGTGGGAGGCAGAGATTGCAGTGGGCTGAGACAGTGCCCTTGCACTCCAGCCTGGCGACAAAGCGAGACTTCGTCTCAAAAACAACAACAGAAAAAGAGCATAATAAGAACGCAAAGAACTGATTAAGTTCTACAAACTATTAAAAGTGGGTTAGGACCAGCCGGGCGTGATGGCACACGCCTGTAATCCCAGCCCTTTGGGAGGCTGAAGTAGGCAGATCACCTAAGGTGAGGAGTTGGAAGGCAGCCTGGCCAATGTGGTGAAACCCCATCTCTACCAAAATACAAAAATAAGCAGGGCATGATGGCACATGCCTGTGATCCCAACTATTCGGGAGGCTGAGGCAGGAGAATCACTTGAGCCCAGAAGGTGGAGGTTGCAGTGAGCTGAGATCTCACCACTGCACTCCAGCCTCAGCCACACAGTGAGACTCCATCTCAAAAACAAAAACAAAACATTTACCATAGTTGCGCCATTCATCTATCAGAAACCTGAAGCCAGCATATGAAGGAAGCAGGTGTGGCACATATCCTGGGGCTGTCACCGTAAAATAGCTCCAGTAGGGAGTTTCCATTCTATGCTATTGCTATTCCATCCACAGACTGGATAGTGCCAAAGTTGCACTTCCTGAGGAGTCAGCTCCCACTGGCATCCTGAAGCAACCCGAACTTTAAACTCACTCCCTGCTCTCCAGAATGCACACGTCTGCATTCGCAAAGATGACAGAGTCAGGTGGCCTGAGCACACAGGAATGTGGGCAGGGCTGCGACTGAATGCCAGAGCTACTTTTATGAAATTCCTTGTTAAGTAAATTCAGAAGGGGTTTGTTTGTAGCTGGCAATAAATACCTAAGAGAGGATCTCTGGAATTTGTACCTTTTTTTTTCCATTTAAAAACTGTCTCATGGCTTTCTAAGTGAAATGTGACTCTTCAAAATAACGAAGACACACAAATATCAAAGAATTATCAAATGCAGACACACTCACCTTTACTCCGGTGGAAAGACCCATTTCCCCACACTGCACCTACATCTCCCCACTGCCAGCTTCATCCGGTGCCAGTCTACTTGCCCATCACAAGCTCAACCTGGGAGGCCCATTTGCCTCTGCTCTCTGCAATGCAGGCTTCCCACCTCCTAAGACTGGATTGCCCCTAAGCTCACCAGGACACAACACAAGCATCAGGCCCAGAGGAAGGCAACAAAAAGGGACTTGACTTAGAATCAGAAGACTGCTTCTAACTTCAACTCAGACTCATGTCTTCCCATGGTTAAAAGGGGAACGATGACACTGATTTTACGGAATTGCTCTAAGAATTAAACAAAATGCCTGTGAAACAGCTGTGGAGCCAGCAAGCCTCCCAGACCCTCCACTTCTCCACAACTCGCCTACCCACCCAACATCTAAGTTACGCTGCTTCCATCCCACATCCTCTGGCTCTAGCTCTACTTCTTCACCCAGAACCCACAAAGAGCTTCAATACACTCCAAAAATTAAAGATACATTTTTAATAATTTGGGCACTTTCAAGAGACAGGGAAGCCCTATCGTTTCAGAAAGCCTTTACCACCCACTGCTGCCCCAAAACAAGAGAAGTATATATTGTTGACAACCAGCGCTTGAATTACTTATTACATTTTAAAATATCGTCCCAAGGTCTCCCTGTAGCTGACAGTGGCTGAGAGGCGTGAAGTAGCCAGGATTAAATGATGTGCAAATCTAGACTGACTGCTTTTGGGGCTGGTACTGCCAGGCAGGCAGATGCCCATCCCTTGCAACCCCACTGTCCTCCATCATCTTGCCTCTGGAGCAAGGGTCAAAAACCTTTTTCTTAAAAGGCCATATAGGAAATAGTTTAGACTTCAGGGCCAGCCAGTCTCCATGTCAACTACTCAATTCTGCCTTCAAATCTGAAAGCAGCCACACAGATAATACAAACACAAATGGGTCTGGGCTGTGTTCCAATAAAACTTTATTTACAAAAACAAATGGCCAGCCCCAAGAGCCTGGTTTGCAACTCTTGCTCTGGAGCAGAGCAGAATGTATACTCTCTGAACTGCAACAAAGTTCGTGCCGCAAAAGCAGCACCTCTGCAGTCATTCCCCTCTTCTCTGTCCACTGGCTCCGGACTTCCATGTGAACAAGTTTGCCAAGAAGGACAATGTGGGCAGGTGAAGCTGGGAGGGGCCACAACCAAGATCCCACCGCCCCCCATCTTTAACAGGCAGCACCAAGCAAATCCCATTTCAGGGGACCCACTCTACCTTGCTGCCTACTGTGTCTTCCCACCTTACAGCCTCTCGATTACTATGCAGTTACCAAGTCGGCCACCAACTTACTAAGATTCTTGCCATTCTCTCATTCTAGTCAAAAGAATAAGTCATCAGTTCAATGGAGGGGGCAGCTGAAGCCCAAGTTTCTATTTGATAAAGATGTACGACAGGTTCTTTAAAAAAATAAACTACATAAAGTTTTCTGGACACAAAACTCCTATCCAGACCACTAGTCATGAAGAAGACCAGAAGCCAAAAAGTACAATCCTCATGGAGAACCGGCTTATTCGTTGTCTGTGCACTCTGCGACTGGTAAGCCTTCCCTGGGGGTCTTACTCTCAGAACTCTGTCATGTGTGACATAACAGGTACCTCCTGCAATTCCAACAGAACATTCCCCTGGATTGGCAGAGAGCAGACTTGGAACCCTGGAGTGAACCTTCCTCAGGGTGCTCCACTATGGCACGTGGCAGCAGAACCCAGGCCACTGTTGCCATCATCCCCCACCTGGCTGCCTTCAACAGGCAAGCTTAAAAGAATGATGCAACCTCCCTGCTCCCTTCTTCTCAGCCACGACAGACCAGACATGGTCTTGCATGGAAGTCAGACTCTCTCATAATCACTGTTGCTCAGGTGCCTGTTTAGGAGATGGAGCTGTAGTCACAACAACAGTGGAGACTGCTTTGGAGGAGCCAGAAGCTGTTCCCTGTTGGAGATGGGATGCAGGGACAGTCTGGATGCGCACCTGTTTGCAAAGAGGAGGTCAGGTCAGTGAATTGCAAGTGGGTTCACCAGTTAAAAACAGCAGTGGAATCAGAGAGGAGCCCGATATGGCCAAGAATTTTCCCTGGGCCTTACCTGTGTGGCCTGACCTTGCTGCTGAAGCTGCTGCAACTGCTGAGCAGTGAGGAAACTAACAGGCTTATTGCCAGCAATGAGCTTAGTGCCCGCTGGCATAGTTGTGAGGATGATGTTGCGGCCCAACCCACTGAGGCTGTGGAGGGAAGGCAGGAGTGAGGTATAAGGATATCGGCAGGTATTCTCCAGCCCAGATTTAAGCCATGCATTGAAGGACAACAAGGAGGTCTGTGCCAGTGAAAATCCCGGCATTTCAGACTGAAATGGAAACCAAATGCTGAGACCACGTTTCTTCTAGCTTCTCCACTTCCCATGGCAGGGGAAGACAGTAATCCCAGAAGCCGCCAGTGCTCTGGATAAAAGGCGGCTTCTGGATAAAACGGCCCCTGGCTCCTGGGCTTGACCAGCAGGAACAATGGACAGGGCCCCAGAGAGGTGTGTACTTCTGCAAGAAACTCTCCTACTAATAGCTACGTCTCACAAGCCGCCCTGAGACGGCCAGACTGATTTCATTGGGCCCTTTATCCCTGCTTAAATCAAGACCACAGGTAGCCTTCATTCCCTCAACTGTTTGGGTTCAGAGTTCAACTGTCAAAGGGAAGCTTTCCTCACACCTACCTGAGCCCCATCCTAGCACTTCCCACTCCCTTTTCTCTCCAGTATGTACATGCTGCTTTATTTCTCTCTCTCCTTTACAATGTGTGCTTGGAGAACAGCATGGATTTTCATCTGTTTTAATCACTGCACCTAAAACAATACTAGGCACTCAAAAAATACTGTCGATGAGCACTGCAAAGAAGAGGTATCAAAGGAAGACTCCAGAAATACCAGCCACTTTGCCATTTGGTGACAAGGACTGGTAAGCCCTGCCTGTCACCTCCACCCCCAAACTGGTTCCTTCACCATGACACAGTACTTACTTGGCTCCAAGGTTGCCTTTGATGATGGGGGCTGTGACCACGCTCTTGCCCTTCATTGGCTGACTGATCACAGAGAGGGGAACTGTGATCCGTGTAGGCAACTTCCCCTAGAAAGAAAAGGCAGTCAGGTTTTGTAAGACAGAAGGAAAGGAAAACCAGCGAGCGTCACCTCCAAGACGTCAGGAACTGAGAAGCAAGCACTACAGATGCTGTCATCCCCAGTACCCACCAGAGTCTCAAGACTCCTGAGGTTTGGGCCCAGAGAGCCCTAACGAAACTACTTACATACCAGAGTCAGGTGAAATCTGATCGTTTATCACCCTCTTTCATGCTACCAAAACAGCAGCAACCCTATCTGCATCTAAATCACAAAGGCAGGTGTGTGCTCACCTTTAGCACAGTCCTAGGTTCTGAGTCCTTGGAGGACAGAGGCTTATCTCTGTATCCCTCAGTACATGGCACAGTAGTGGGCAGGCAATCACTATTTGGTGAAATAAATGTGAGGAAGGACAGAGGAGCTCAAGAGTCAATACTGAGAGCGCACAACTACTCACTGGAGTGCGGGGCCACTGGTGGGGAACAAACGGCAGGGCATGCTAGATTAGAGAGAGGTCACACTTTCTGGTGCTTTCCATTTCTCCCGGAGATAAGAGAGGTTAGCTAGGGGACACTAATAATAAACTCAATCAAGTGAAAAGTCCAGCTCTCAAGCAAATAAAGCCTCAGAAGAATTTTTTTAGAAACTGAGAAGGCTTAGAGGGCCTTCAGGATGGGACGTTCAGGTTGGTTAAGACAGGTCACTGCATTACCTGTTTTCAGACTGCCTTGGTTTTAATGCTTGACTGGTAATAAAATTTATATGAAGTAAAATCTTATGTACATTAAATCTGAGTTTTAAAAACAATTGAAGAGGGCTGGCTGACAGGATGCTGGGAGAGGGCATTGGCATTCCACAGAGGCAGGCTAACTCTAAAGAGACGGGCAATCAGCTGCAAAACTGCCCTGCAGGTCCCCGTGCCCACCTCTGTGGGCTCACTCACAGCCTGGAGCCTGCTAAAAAGCATGCAAAGAGGGCGACAGGCAACAGAGTACCTTGAGATAGTACCTCTAGATACATTTACTTACGGTTTTCTTCTTCCTCAAAATGCCTTTGTTGCTTAAAACATCTCAAACCAGTATACCAACTAGAATGATCCCTTCAGAAACTATCTAAAAAGCTGAGTGGGGCCGGGCGCAGTGGCTTATGCCTGTAATCCCAGCACTTTGGGAGGCCGCGGTGGGTGGATCACGAGGTTACGAGATTGAAACCCTGTGTCTACTAAAAATACAAAAATTAGTGGGATGTGGTGCTCGCCTGAAGTCCCAGCTACTCGGGAGGCTAAGGCAGGAGAATTACTTGAACCCAGGAGGCAGGGGTTGCAGTGAGCCGAGATCATGCCACTGTACTCCAGCCTGGTGACAGAGCAAGACTCCTTCTCAAAAAAAAAAACAAGCTGACTAGACAGGGGGGAAAAAGCACCACCGATACTTCCTGCCCCACCAATTGCTCTCCAGTTGCATCTACCCAGGTTGATTATAACAGGACAGAAGACACTTGATAGAACCTTCCTATGTTAGAGGGATTCAAAAAAACAGAAGTGGATCAAGTAAGTGCAGTTTCCCCACTTCCTTATTTCAACTTCTATGATGCAGAAACTGAGGTACCTTTTTTTTTTTTTTTTCTTTTTGATATGGAGTCTCACTCTGCCACCCAGGCTGGAATGATCTCAGCTGACTGCAACTTCTGCCTCCTGGGTTTAAGCGGTTCTCCGGCCTCAGCCTCCTGAGTAGCTGGGATTACAGGTGCCTGCCAACATGCCCAGCTAATTTTTGCATTTTTGGTAGAGACAGGGTTTCACCATGTTGGCCAGACTGGTCTCAAACTCCTGACCTGGCAATCTGCCCACCTTGGCCTCCCAAAGTGCTGGGATTACAGGTGTGAGCCACTGCGCCCGACCAACTATTTCATTTTTAACCACACTTTTTTGGGGTTTTCTGTTTTGGGGTATTCATTTGACTTATGTTTACATTTTTCTTCATTGCTCTGACTTTTATCCCAATTTATGAAGGTTTCCCTACATAGCTTGCTCAGTAAAGCGAAACTGTATTTTATACTGTCTATACACGCCCCTCTTCTGAACAATGCTCCTTACCAAGAGGTTAAAGAGTAAACCCACATGTATCCACAAACACCTGTGTGGATACGTGGATGTGATTTAAGATAATGTAGACTTTCAACCTAGTGGGGGAAGCAATAGTTATTTTGGCAAATTTGGAAACTAGGAAATGAGATTTCTACTTCATCCTATTCACAAAGATATATTTCAAATGCATTAACAAATACTTTTCTTTAAAACTCAAGATATTTTATGAAAATAAAGGTTAACATTTTATAACCCTGGGGTAAGGAAGGCACAGACACAAAACCTAGAAACCATTAAAGAAAATGCTGACAGATCTAATGAGATAAAGTTATAAATACCTGTAGAGCAAAAGACTCCATATGCAAGGTTAAAAGATGACAGACTGAAAAAAATATTTTCTATGTATATAAGAATTCACATCCACAGATTCTGCATCTTCTGGATGTTATAAAAAGCTACCTCAAACAATATGAAAATGCCAAATACCTCAAAAGAAAAGTGGCAAAGATTTACTCACCAGGGAGCACATGCCAGCCTCCAAATGAATGAATACTCAACTTCGCTCACATCAGGGAAATGAAATTTAAAAAGAACCCCCTTTTCACCAGTAAGACACGTATGCAAGGTTAAAAAGACGTGGTATCAGCACTGGTTAAGGTCTAGGGGAAACGAGGCTTGCTGAAAGGAGCGCATCTATCTATAGCCTCTCAGGCGACACCACTGGAGTACCGCAGTTCTCCATGTGTGCACCTCCATGGTGCGTGCTAGAACTCTCCACTTCAGAAACATCACGCACGTTCACACATAAGCACAGGAACGTTCGCCACAGAGTGGCTAAGAGTGGAAACGCATCCTTTAGTAGAGCACCTTCTACCAGTTACTATGATACATTAAAAAGACCCCAGTCAATATCTGTGTATAGCCTAGAATGATCATCAAGGCATTTCTAAAAAAATAAATAAAACAAATCGGAGAATATATAAAGTCTCTCTCGTGTTTTTTAAACTACATATACATGTATGAAAATGCTCAAGAAAAGGACTAGAAAGATAAATGCCAAACTACCAATAGCAATTAGTGTTCATGACAGAAGAACTGGAACACGGTCAAGTTTTACTTCGTCTGCACTGTTCTTTACTATTTGAAAAGAATGGGCTGGGTGCGGTGGCTCACACCTGTAATCCCAGCACCACTCTGGGAGGCCGAGGCGTGTGGATCACGAGGTCCGGCAATCGACACTATCCTGGCCAACATGGTGAAACCCCATCTCTACTAAAATACAAAAAATTAGCGGGCGTAGCAGTGTGTGCCTGTAGTCCCAGCTACTCAGGAGGCTGAGGCAGGGGAATCACTTGAACTGGAGGCAAAGGTTGCAGTGAGCCAGGATAGTGCCACTGCACTCCAGCCCAGAGCCCAGTGACAGAGCAAGACTCCGTCTCAAAAAAAAAAAAAAAAAAGAAAATAATGTACGTGTGTACTACACTTTAATAAATTGTGTTTCAAGGGAAAACGAAAGTCTATCAGTAAATAAATCTATTTGGGGTAAAGAAGGTGATATAAACAGGTCCTCTAATTTCCACTCCTAAAAAGCAATTTCCTAGTTTTTAGGGAGTCTCTCAAGTGAAGGGCAGTTAAGAGCCTTGACTAAGTTTCCTAAAAAGAAGGCCTAAGCTTTACCACTAGTTACTCACAGCCTGGGACGTGGACACAACTGTGGTGCTGACAGGAACCTGCCGCACAGTGGGGCCGCCTGTGCCGATGCTGATGGGGGTGCTTGCAGCCCCAGAAGCCACAGCTACAGTCTTGGACACAGCAGCATTCATACTGGACAAGGACACCGCTGAAGTATGGACAGTTCCAGACCCACTGGCTACCGAGGCTCCTTGCTTGGCATGGGTTGCGACAGTGATGGTCTGGCCTGCTTTGGGAGGCATCACTCCCAGTCCCTGCACGATGCGGATCGTGGCAGCTGGTTTTGCTTCTGAAGAGGCCACTGTGCTTTTTCCCTTCTGGTCGGCCACACTCACACCCAGAGCTGGCATCAAGCGAAAAGCTGAACTTGAGGCTTCTGCTGGCTTGAGGTCAGGAGTCACTTTGACCACAGTGGTACCTGTTGGAGTGGATGAAGGGGCACTGGCTGAACTGGCCTTGGCAGGGCTATCAGCTGCATGGACTGGATTGGAAGTGACGTGTAAGGTGGCAGAGATGCCTTTGCCTGTAGTGTTGCCTCCTGTCCCGAAGAGGTCCTGGGTCAATTTGACTGTGGTAACCTGGGACTTGGCCAATGTGGCCATCATGTCCGGAGTGATTCGCAGAACCGTCTGGCCCTTGGCATCTGTGGTGATGGAAGAGGGTGGCAGACGCAATACATCCTTACCCTGGATGCGGAAGTTAGTGGCTGTGAGTGGAATGCTGTTGCCTGTCTGGGGCTTCACACCAAGCTGCCCAGTGATTGCCACCTGGATGGGGAGAAACGGCACTGCTGAGGGATTCACAGGAGTAAACCAGTTACAAAAGTCAATTAGACCAACTTCCATTTCATGGGTAGATGTTTTTAGATTTTTTTAAACTTTTTATTTTGCTAACATTCACAGAAGTAAAGAACAGTATAACAAACCGTATGCCCTTTCACCCAGCTTCAAAAATTAATACTTTGTTTTAGCTATCCCTCCTCACTGTGGTGGGGGGGTGGGGAGGGAGGAATTCAAATTTTAAAGTAAATCCAAGATCTATTATTTTACTGATCAATACCTCTGGTACACATCTATAACCTAGAAAAAGACTTTTTGAGACGGAGTCTTGCTATGTCACCTACGTTGGAGTGCAGTGGTACAACCAGAGCTCACTGCAGCCTCGAACTCCTGGGCTTAAATGTTCCTCCTGCCTTAGTCTCCTGAGGAGCTGGGACTACAGGTGTACCACTGAGCCTTGCTCCCCACCTCCTGAGGCCAATTCCCTCATGTGTAACAGATGCAAGCCTTTTAGTCTTACATAGGGACTTCCTCTCTCTGTGGTGTGATCAATTTTCTCTCTTCTACGGGACCACGGCCATCAGAATGCAAACATGCTGTAATACTTCCCATCCTAAAAAACAACCAATCCTGGCTAACTCTACACCTCCCTCCACCTAATCCACTCCACATTGAACTTCAGTTCTCTGCTCTCTTCAGAAGCAAAAATTCCTCTAAAAATTACCTACACAGTCACCCCTAGGTATGTGCGAGGGATGCCCCCAGGTAGATACTAACATCCACAGATGCTCAAGGCCCTTACACAAATGCACTATCTCCAAATAACCTACAAACAAGCTCCCGTGTAGTGAAGATCATCTCCAGATTACTTACAATATCTACTACATTGTAATTCCTGTGTAAATAGCTTCCATACTGAATTGATTTTTTTAACCTGTATTGCTATTTTTTATTAGGGTTTTTTTTCCAAATACTCAATCCATGGTTAGCTAATCTGAGAATGTGGAACCCACAGGTAAAGAGGCCAGCTGTAACTCACTGTCTCCACTTCCTCGCCTTACCTTCTCTCCACTTTTTTTTTTTTTTTTGAGACAGAGTTTCGCTCTCGTTGCCCAGGCTGAAGTGCAATGGCACGATCTCGGCTCACTGCAACCCCTGTCTCCTGGGTTCAAGCGATTCCCCGCCTCAACCTCCCGAGTAGCTGGGATTACAGGTATGTGCCACCACACCCGGCTAATTTTGTATTTTTAGTAGAGACGGCATTTCTCCATGTTGGTCAGGCTGGTCTCAAACTCCTGACCTCAGGTGATCTGCCTGCCTCGACCTCCCATTGCTGGGATTACAGGAGTGAGCCATGCACCCAGCTTACCTTCCCTTTTGAACCCATTTCCCAAAAGTCACAATCCACTGGCTCAGTCAAGCCCATGAATCACCCTGATCCACCGAGTCTCATCTCACGCTGCCATTACATCTCACACAGGTGCTGCTCCCTCCTTCCCGACCACACTTTTCACTGTCTTGCAGTCTCCACACCTCAATTTTCTTCTACTTCAGTAAATGATGCTACCATCTATCCAGGCACCCAAGCCAAAGCCATGGATGGGATAAATCTCAGCTTCCTCCTCTCAGACCCCTACTCAAGCCACCAGCAAACTCCAATGGCTCTCCCTTCAACCACATCCAGACCCCACCATTCCCCTCTACCTCTGATGAATGGTCACTCCAGTCTATGCCAACCTTACCTCTCACCTGGATGACTGCCACTGCCTCCTACATGGGTTCCCGTTTCCATTCTTGTCCCACACTGTTCATTCTATCCAGCAGCTGGATGTTTCTTTAAATGCAAACCAGATCAAGTCATCCTTGCTCACTATATTCCAGTGGTTCCCCTCACATTTAAATTAACCTCAACATCCCACATAATCTAACCACTGGCAACCTCTCCCATCCTCATCTTCTAACACCCTCACACTTACTCACAACGCTTCAGCCACAATGATTTTCCTCTCGTTCCTCAATCATATTCCTGACACAAAATATGTGCACTTGCCATTCCTATGCCTGGAATGTTTTATCTCCCATCATCACTACATGGCACGCTCTAATTTCATTCATCTCTTTGAAATGTCATCTCCCCAGAGAGGCCTACTCCAATTACTCCAGGTAAAATAACACACAACTACTGGTCTCCACCCCTTAGCCTGTCTATATATTCGCATAGCATTTCATACCATCTGACACTGAGGTACTTGTCTCTTGGCTCTATGAAAATACGAGTTCCATGAGGGCAAGGACTTAGTCTGTTTAATATACCACTAAATCCCCAATACTTAGGATAGTGTCTGGCTTAATATTTATCGTTATGTCGTTCCATTTAAAAAAACAAATGCTGCTTTATCATTACGAGGTTCCATTTCTTCATCTGTACATAATAAGAGTGCCTACCCCATAGAGCTAAGATGAGACTATTTAACAGGCATAAAATGCTTAACGCGGTCCAGGTGCACAGGAGGCACTCCTATCAGTATTAGTTGCTATACTGCTTAACAAGTCTTTGAAGTTCGATGATTATTCTTTTATATTCACAACCAAGAAAGTACAAGCATATTCTACTTTTATGAGTGGTAAACTGAGAAGCCAATAAAATACAGCCATGGGAATTTAACTAAATAAATTCATGGACAGTCTACTCTAAATCCAGAAACTCAACTACTACATGCTGAATTAAATGGAAATAAACAGAAGAAATCTCTTCAGCATCTATGAAGGCTGCACTGCCTTTGGTGGGAACTCATGCCTAAGTACCTATAAGCTGCAAGTCAAAGATGACAAACCTTCCCATGAGCATGCAGTCTGGCCAAGAACCTCCAGCTCTAGTGGTCCCTGCTCCAGGATGAAGGGCTGAGATCCACCTGGAAAGAGCCCCACCTACCTGCTTGATGATGTTCTGTCCTGCGACGTTTTGAATGACGGCAGCTGTGGAGGCACTGGGAGCAGAGGTCCCAGGAGAACTCGCAGCCGGCTTACTCACGGGGCTGGCTGTGGCAGGGAGACTTGTCACCGTGAGCCCTGTCTGCCCAGGTCCAGGCCGCTGCACAGTGGCTGCCGTAGTCTGTGCTTTGACTGGCACAGTGGCCATTACTGTCTAGTTCAGGGCATGAAGCCAAGAGCTTAATTAGACACTAAGATGCAGACCAGCACTCGAAGCACAGTCGCCCACATCACACCCAGGAAGCGTTCCTCTCCAAGTGTCTCTAATCCCACAGTACTTAAGGCACACAACTCTCTAAAATGGACACTGTAAATGTCTTATTTGTAAACAACAGCTAAATTTTCAGAATGCTTTTACATTTAACGTCTCATTTTATTCCTACATACTGAGGACAAATACTATTTTACCCCTTTTATAGCGAAAGAAACGGAGACAAAGAGAATACAATTCTTCTCTCAACTCACACAACTAGTTTGTGGTGTGGCTAAGACTAGAGGCACATAGAAGGAGTCTGAGATGTAAACTCACAAGGTCCGAATTTAAAACCCACCTCTACCAAGATCCTGAGGTTAGGGTCCTGGGGAAATCACTCAGCTGTTCTGAAGATCTGATTCCCAACACATAAACACACTATCTAAAAATGCTTACACAGCTTTGAACATTAAGTGGCTTGCTCTGATAACGTCATCACCAGTAGCAATAATCTACGGCTCCCCAGTCCTTAGCCAGACTCTGCCCATTTGACTCATCAGCCCACCTCTGGGTCTGCCATCCCTGCTTCCCTGTGGCCACAGCTTCCCTGTTTACCTGGGGCACTACTTTGGTCTGTGCGGCAGTGGCTGGAATGCGGATCTGCGGTCCTGCTGGCATCTGTGGCAGTGTCTGTGCTGGCCCTGTCGACTGCTGAGGAACAGCAGAAAGGCTAGGCTGGGCCACCACTCGCACCTGGGATAGTCCGGCAGAGCCAGAGTGGCTCACGACCCGGGCAGCAGCCTGAGAACTGGGTGTAGTCTGGCTGGAAGCTGCGGAAAGCATTGTTCCCAGATGTGGCATTGTTGGTGAAGACACTAGAAGAACACTATGAGGAACATCAGGGAAAGACAAAAAGCAAAAACTTAGGACATGCACACAGAAGGACTCTAGAAGGAAAAAGCTGAAGAAGAAAAGGAGGAGCTTACCCTGAGCTAGACTTAGCTGGTTCTGAGACTGTGGTAGGGCCGCCTTTGTTCACCGCCGATACAGGTGGAGGGGAGATAGGAGTGGCAGGCAATGCCGGTGTGGTGGGGGTTACAGGTGTGACTGGGGTGGGTGGCATACTGGAGTCACTGAGGCTCATCTGGCTCGGCTCAGAAGGGCCACTGCTAAGGACCTTTATGGAGCTCTCCTTGCTACTGGACTTCTAGAATGGAAGACAAAGAAAACTCACCTGCAGGTGTCATGAAGAATCCCCTAAAGGAAGGGATGCTCCTGCAGCTCCTGATGCCGGGAGTGAAAGCTGACCAGCTACTCTTAGCTGCCTCCATCCAGAATCTCTAAGGAAGACACTCTCCTGAGATCACTTACCACCTTGGATGGGGGCTTGGGCTTTTGCTGAAGGGCTTTTCTGGCTTTAGCTGCAGCTGCTTGTGCTTGGTGAATCCGCTCTGTGAACAAGACGGGTAAGCTTCAGCCAGAGTTTAACCTTAGCAAACTAAAAAGAGGGGCTTTGTTAAAAACCAACACCTTGCTGGTGGACTGAATCCTGCCTCTACAATCCTGTCCTGCCTATATGCCAATGAAGAGAATAATGGAATTGGGGCAGAAAGTCAAAAAGTATCCCTAGTCTAGGCGGACACAGTGCCCAGAGGCTTCACACACCAAACTCTTCTTCACTCCGGTCACGATGCAGGTAGATCCATAGCTTACGTCCAATGTCATATTTCACACAAGGATCTTTTTCATAATGCAGCCGATCCAGTGCACCACTCACTACCGTATTTACCTACAAATCAGACAGAGGGAAATAAGAAAAAGTTCAGAGAACAGAAGTTATTTGGACTCCAGAAAAAAGAAGTCATTAGATCTAAATCACAGCTGATACACAGATCCTATCTCAGCCTACCTGCATATTACCAGTACATCACCAAATCATTTGCCAAAACAATAAATGCTGTAAGACTACGGAGATATTGATCTATTTTTACTGTAAGGATAGTGTGAAGTAAGTAAGTGACCAGCCGCCCTTTACCATAAGCTAAAAGAAAGCCTAGAGCCAAAATCTGTGTTTGATTAACAGCAAGGGTTTTGATCACTATGCATTTTTCAAGATATCTTTTCTCACTTCATTCAGATTTTTAAAAATCTGTTATATTTTACATTTCCTAATAAGTTTTCTCAAATCCATTCTGAAACAAAGCAAAAGTAATCTCCTCTTCATCCTACCTGAGTGCTGGTGACATCTGGTGCAAGAAACTGGGAATCCTTAAGCAGTTCACAGATCTCTGCCCGTGTACCTTCCCCATTAGGCAGTCGAGCCGCAGCGTCCCGAACTGATGACATGAGAAAGCACAGAGTCCACACGTCAGGCAGGGTTCCTACAGAGGTACAGCCTCCCCGATCAACTTTGGTGGGCAAAGCTCCCTGGGATTCCTGCTCCTCTACCTTCACTGACTCCAGACAGGTGCACTCTGCCCTCTAGCGGCTGGCAGCTCACCCACTGGAGTTTCCTACACACTTTTTTTGAGACAGTTTTGCTCCTCCCCTAGTCTGAAGTGCAAGGGCACAATCTCAGCTCACTGTAACCTCCACCACCCAGGTTCAAGTGATTCTCCTGCCTCAGCCTCCTGAGCAGCTGAGATTACAGCCATGCACCACCATGTATGGCTAATTTTTGTATTTTTAGTAGAGACAGGGATTCACCATGTTGACCAGGCTGGTCTTGAATTCCTGAGCTCAGGTGATCTGCCTGCCTTGGCCTCCCAAAATGCTGGGATTACATACGTGAGCCACCGTGCCCAGCCCCTATAAGAGTCACTTTTAGGTGACACCTTAGAATTCAGAGGGACCGTGAACTCAGGTGGGAAGCAAAATTACATCTTAAACTGAAACTAAGCATTTCCTTCAATTATGAACAAAGGAAACAAACCACATATTGGCAGTGCTGTGATGTGTAACAAAAATCATACATTTTCGTATACAGCTACTATAGACAGCTAAGAATATCATTTATACTCATCACTACTTGGAAATTGCAAAAATATCAGACCTGCTGCTAGATCTTGTCATATAACATCATAACAACAACACACATTTCTGCACCATAAACTTGTTTTAGCATTTTGATAACTACTGCAAAACAACTCGTTTCTTTCGTAACTATATTTTATTTTACACATTTAAAAGCATAATTCTGGCCAGACAGTGGCTCATGCTTGTAATTCCAGCACTTCGGGAGGCCGAGGCGGGCGGATCATCACCTGAGGTTTGGAGTTTGAGACAGCCTGACGAACAAGAAGAAACCCTGTCTCTACTAAAAATACAAAATTATCCAGGCATGGTGGAGCGGGCCTGTAATCCCAGCTTCTTGGGAGCCTAAGGCAGGGGAATCACTTGAACCCTGGAGGCGGAGGTTGTAGTGAGCTGAGATCGCACCATTGCACTCCAGCCTGGGCAACAAGAAAGAAACTCTGTCTCAAAAAAAAAAAAAAAAAGCATAATTCTGAGAAGGGGGTCCATAAGTTCCACTAGAGTGCCAAAGGGATTCCTGGCATTCAAAAAGGCAAAAACCCTCACTGTTAAATGAAGGAGGGTGCAGAGGAAGCAAATTCTGGAGGAAGCAAATTCCTATATTTAACTTTTTTAGCTGGTCTGGGAACAACTCCTAAGTAAACATTAATGTGAGCCCAGACTTCAGAAAGAAGACTGAGAGCTGAAGATTTCCCTTCAGGCCCAAACTCCAATGCTTAGAAAAACTATGCCTGTTCTCAAAACCTTCCCTGGGTGGAGGGGTAAAGGGAGGACAGAGTTCAGATGTCACTAGAGAAAAGCTGTGGGGTGGAGAGGGATCTGTCATCATCAACACGTGCCACCTACCAAGGGACAGAATGGTGACGTAGGCAGGCCGGTCAGAACGCAGCAGGGAGTGCTCCCGAGCCTTGTTGAGCGAGGTCTCCTTGTCAAACACGCCCTTCACTGGCCCCACCACAGACTCAAAGCCGTGCATGCGAAAGGTGAATGCCTTATGGGGTTGGCTATACCTGTAACGCTCCTACCAAGAGACAAGGGACAAGGCTCCTAGGTCAGAATTATTGGGGTTCTCTCTCAGGCTTCCTTGCAATATAAGCAGATCCACATGGAACAATTAAAACAGGAAGAAAACAAGTGATTCCTTAGCCAACCACAGTAGGAAAAGGATGGTTTTCAGAGCCATCACTGAGCAGAGGGTCAAGGAGGTAATACAAAGGCACTTAGCTACCTGGAAGACAAGATCATCCAACTATTTCTTACTCCCTTTCCCCACACTGTTTTCACCCCCAACACGCAATCCCAGCCAACAGAAGGTCTAAGGGGGACGGTATGAGTTTCCTGCAAGAAGGAGGATGCAGGAGAGTCAGGCTCAGAGCTTCTCTCTGCATGGCTCACAGAGGCAGAGGCTTACACTGCTCTTAGGTACTTCTTACCTGCTCCTGAAAAACCCGCTTCTCCTCCCCAGTGCTGGGCCGTACCACATAGTCAGTTCTTCTGGAATATAAAGAATTCTGTATCAATCCTGAGAGCTGGCACATGTGTCAGATCCATTGCCCCTGCTTCAGAACCATTCCCACTGTGACATGGAAAAATGTCCTTCCATAAGCACTCAACTCTTACAAAGGTAAAGAGGCCACTTTTCCAGCTCCTATAAAGTAACTCCTGTTGGTATTTCCAAAATCACTAGAAATCCAGAAAGATACTGGGTAGATGGTAAACAGGCTGACATCTTCACCTACTGTTTTCCATACTGCTGCTAAGTAGGTCAATTCTAATAGCAACAAACAATTAGGCCTTAGAGGAACAAAGGGCTTCAGGTGTGTTTTATAAGGGCTGTTTTTCTACTTCCAGGGAAAGTACCCAGGGCTTGAGTTCTACACCCCATTATATGAAGCAACAGTTCTGCCACTTAGACTGGGCCTCTGTGCTGGTGTCAGAAAACTACAGAACCATGCCAGGACAGAAACAGAAACACGGGACAATGAAATAAAAAGAGCCTACCTAGGACTGAGGGTTAAGAGATCTAAGTTCTAGCTGGGGTCCTGCCGCTAACCTTCAGCAAGTCACTTAATGTCATGCTTCCATTTATTGGACTGAGAAAGGTGGCTTGGACGAGTAATTCTCAAGTAGAAGCCGAGAAAAGAGTACACATTAAAAAAGTGTGTCCACCCACAAGGCAGAACATATGCCCCTTAGAGGCTCTCCCCTCAGCTCCTCTCTCCACCCAAGCCCCTTCCACAGGAAGTACGGCTCACTCAGGGAGTGTGGCCTTCCTCAGGATGCCGAGTCAGGAAGAACCAGTGGACTCCTCAGAGCTCTGGAGCCCATTACAGCTCTAGCATAGCAAGAAGCATCAGTACAACCAAGGCAGTATCTGAACTACAGGTTCCCAGGACACCACCAACCACTACCGTATAGTACTCACACCCGAGGGACAGGTGTCATGGCATCTGAGCTGTCTTCATTTTCTTGCTGGAGAAAAAAAAACATTGACAGGTAAATGGACTAAAGAAATCGGGCAAACTTAAGAGCTCTAAAAACCTAATGAGAAGGATCTGGTATTTCTTTAAAAACCATACCTTACAGAAGGCCTGATCTTTGGTCTCTAGCCATAGCTGGAAGAGGGCAGCTAATTCTTTTTCATTATCTTGGGACTGACCTATTAGAGAAATAAAGAGACAAAAAATCAGAAGGTCTAAGGTATTACTGAGAATCCTGCTTTCTCTTTACTAGCTGTATCTACACCAGAGAGAGATTATATCATGAGCTGAAGCAATGATCCTTCGCACATCCACTGCCTTCCAGCTGGTGGAAGTCAGCCTGGACCACTATTCTTGGATGCCATCTAATCAAATCATTCACTCCGTAGGCATTCACTGAGTACCCACTGTGCCAGGCATTGCATGTGAGGCTAAGGTTACTCAGTGAATTCAGTCTCCACTCTCATGGAGTTTACAGGCAAGTGAGGAAACGGCACACATTAAAACAAATTCAAAAGTGGTAGGCATCACAAAGGATGTAATGAAAGCTTATACCAAGGGAATTATTCTATTTTTGTAGGTAAGAAAGGCTTCTGGCAAGTAGGGCACAGAGGAATTCTATTCACTAGCATAGCAGTTAAGATCCCGGGGCAGGTAAAAGTTTGACTTCCCATGACCTGCCTAGAAAGAGATAAGCCCTGTCTCCTGCGCCCTCCTCTCAGGTTACTCTGTTCAGACTGCCTGAGACACTGATGGCACCTGTGTCTCCTACCAGGCTAGAAGCCACAGGACCATCATCGGCCAGGTCTGCTTACATAATGAATACAGCTACCCTTCTCAAAGAGGCCGTTTATCTTTGTTTTCATAGTCAACACACAATACCACCATTTGCAGAAAGCTCTCAACAATGGCAGATGGCTTCAAATAAAGCATCTGCCCCATAAGCTTCAAATGCTTATTATGTGCCTTACAAGAAAGTCTGCCAAGCCCATGTATACATGCTCCCTCCAATGGCTACTGCAGCCCACAGCCTGATGCCAGGGGAGGCAGGGTGCTTGCAGTCAGCTACCATCATCACCTTCAGCTCACAGTGACTTCACCTCCATCATTCCACTAGGGAATCACACTCACTGAAAAATTTGCAACTTCCTCCATATTCACTAATCTTTAGTCTTTATCTTACTGAATCTTTTAGAAACTATGGAGGCAAATGACCACTCCCCACTTCTCAGGCACTCCTGTCTCCTAGCTTCCAAGACTCAGGAAAACCCTGTCCCAGGCTTCCCCCACCCACACACACTCACTCAGCCCCACTGCCATGAAGAGCCCTCCTCGGCCATCTCTCCTCACTCTGTGCTTCCTCCCCAGGTCATAGCACCATCTGTGTCCTGCACCGCACACATGCCAACACTCTCCCCCTTAACTTTCTGGTCTGAATTCCAAACCCACACATCCTACTGTCTATTCAACAGCTCCACTGAAATACCTCAAAGGCAGTTCTAAAACTAAACTCAGGCTGGGAGCGGTGGCTCACACCTATAATCCCAGCACTTTGGGAGGCCGAGGCAGGTGGATTGCCTGAGCTCAGGAGTTCAAGACCAACGTGGGCAACATGGGGAAACCTCATCTCTACTAAAAATACAAAAATTAGCCAGGCGTGGTAGCATGCACCTGCGGTCCCAGCTACTTAGGAGGCAGGAGAACTGCTTGAGCCCAAAAAGAAGAGGTTGCAGTGAGCCGAGACTATGCCACTGCACTCCAGCATGAGGGACACAGCAAGACTCTTATCTCAATAAATAAAGAAATAAAACAAACTAAACTCAGGATCTCCACCCTCCAAATTCAGTCCTCTACAGCTCCTCCTGCACGAACAGCATCTTCCTCCACCAGCTACAATCTAGCAGGAGCCATGCCTCACACCATTCTCCCTCACTCTCCACAGCCAAGCCATAACCAAGTCCACCCAAATCTTTCTCAAACGTGTCCATCCTCTTGCCCCGCGTCTAAATCACCATCAGCTCTCATGGCCCATGGGTTGTGTGACTGCTTTAGATCAAATCTTCCCCATGAAAAGGTTCCACCTCCTCTACCTCAAATGCTGCTGCCTCCCTCCTGCCTGCCTGGCTCAGTCCTATTCATCATACAGCTCTCCTCAGATGCTGCTTCCTCAGAAAGGTCCTCCCAACTCTGCAAACTACATCATTTCTCATTATAATAAACTCCCACCCTCTCTGTTACTTTTCCTTTACAGAAAGGATCAGTTTGTCATTTAATCTAAATGAGTATGTTCCCCAAACAGACCTTAGGCCCCATGACAGGCACGCACTGTCTCAGAAGCCATGGTTTCCCCACGCACCTAACAACAGTGCCTGACACCTAGAAGCTGAATAAATGTAATACACAATGAATGAATGGGTCTGTTTTCATAAACTGCTCTCCATACACCCCTCCACAGACCACTCGAAGAGCACAGAGAAGGATTTATCAATTTCAATAGGAAACCAACACTGGATTTCTCTCTTATCACCATCACCAGGTAATAGCCTCCAAGTGACTTCAGATGCATGTTGTGACAACTTACACACTAAGCGGGCTTTATAAACTTAAACATAAGGACACTGTTCTTTATAAATAACTTATTCGGGGCTGTTGCACATTCTCCTCAATAGCAAAGCCCATTTTTAGGAAAGAAAAATATTTATATTACAAATTAATCCAAAGTCATTGCTATGATTAATATAAATGTTGATGTTAGTCGGGCACGGTGGCTCAAGCCTGTAATCCCAGCACTTTGGGAGGCTGAGGCGGGTGGATCACGAGGTCAAGAGATCGAGACCATCCTGGTCAACATGGTGAAACCCCGTCTCTACTAAAAATACAAAAAATTAGCTGGGCATGGTGGCGTGTGCCTATAATCCCAGCTACTCAGGAGGTTGAGGCAGGAGAATTGCCTGAACCCAGGAGGCGGAGGTTGCGGTGAGCCGAGATTGCACCATTGCACTCCAGCCTGGGTAACAAGAGTGAAACTCCGTCTCAAAAAAAAAAAAAATATATATATATAAATGTTGATGCTATTAAAAATGCCCTTGCAGATTTAAATCTAGCCATCACCAGACTGCATCATACAGAAAAAGCTATTCCTTCCATCTCAGCTTTTGTCCAATGAAGGGAGTTAACCCATCTTGAGAGTACAAAAAGGGTCTTGAAGGATTCCTTCGCAGAGCAAAATCAGCTCTAATATTGCTTTTCTTTAAACCAATCTGCAGGACTATATTGACTGGAAGGCAAAGAGGCTTAGGGGAAGGAATGAGAGAACGAACACCTGATAGAAGTAGGTAATACTGATTACTTACCAAGCAACTTCCACTGCTGGGTTTTCTCTTTGAATTCAACAAATGGAGAAAAACTGGAAGGAACAGCTGTAAGAAATGGACCATATAAACAAGCCATACAGGTCAGAAAGACTGCTAAACTCCTAACTAGCATCCCTGAGCTCTGACACAGCTTTTGAGTGTTCCACAGTACATCAAAAATGCAGGAACGTTCGAGGCACTGCATTATGCAGAGGCATAATGGATTACACGAGCAAAGCTGCAGTTTGTTCTTAAGAATTAATTAGACAAAAGTGGGGAAAAATACTGACCCTACAAAAAAGAGCACCTTACCTCGACTTTCTCCAGCAAGATACTGCAAGGCTGGTAGTACCAACTCGGCCCAGTTGGGGGCTGCAGAGAACCAGCTGTTGAGGGAGCTGGCTGGCGATGACTGCCAATCCAAAACTCGCTCCTCTAGCTGAGGGAAAGCAAAGGCAGAACCCAGTCAGACTTCTCTTCTATACCAGCAATTCCACAGAAGTGCCACAGCAAGCTGGGGCACATGCATCCAGAGTTTGTCCAAGTCACAAAGCAAGTTAACTACAGAGCTTTGAGAGGAACCTAGAGTTGTGCTTCTCAAGCTATAGATCATTTAGATCATTCAGGATTTGAGCACTTTGAAAACTCTGACGTACATCCAACTTTTCCAAAACTCTTACCATGGCAAGGCTAGCCTGACTCTCCAGCAGCAAAATCTCTAATAGAAGAGAAAAAAAGCTGGAAGATATTTCATTGATTCCAAGGCAAGGCTTGAGGTCTTCAAGGGGCCTAATGAGGAAAGAAAACTGTAAGAACCAAAAAGACCAAGAACACATCCCTAGACTGGTTCAGGCCTCCAAGCCTCCTACCGTCATAAAAGAGTTCAAGAAAGCAAACAACACATTTTCCCAGCAGAATCCCTGGGACTCCAGGTATACAAGTCCAACACACAGCTACAACAAGCCCTAGGGGCCAGGGCACGGCCCACAGCTTAACCATTCACCCTGAGAATTACAGAATCTCTGTTGCTCACTTACTCTTCCTTGATAGAAGGAATTGCCAGTGGAGAGGGGGCCTGCGAGAGAGGTGCAACCCCATCAGTATTGCTTAGAGGCTCAGCCAGATCATCTGCCTCTGATTTGATCGTTTTTATTTTCTTCTTCTTCTTTTCCTCTTTTTCCTTAACCTTTTTTTTAAGGACAGCCAAGTCATATAAGGCTGAGAAGGAAAATTAACACAAGTCACAGAAATATATCTCCTACACAGGGAAATGAGAGGTCTTATCTGCATATTCTTTTCCCAAGGCCCACCAAAGACAGAAAAGTCTCAGTAATAAAACACTCAACGAAACCAAATTCAATGAGTGATTTACAGTTTTGTTTTTGTATGTTTGTTTGTTTGTTTGTTTGGGAGACAAGATCTCACTCTGTTGCCCAGGCTGGAATGCAGTGGTGCAATCATAGCTCACTATAACCTCAACCTCCCTGGCTCAAGCAAGCCTCCCGCCTCAGCCTTCCAAGTACACAGCTTAGTTTTATTATTTATTAAAGAGCTGATGCTCTGCTGTACCGATTTTAAATTCATTTCCCACCTGTAAGCCCATAAGAGGTAATAATAAAGGTTACTGGAATGAAGGCAGCCACAGTTTCATTTATTTTTGCCATATGTGATAGGCTCATGCAACTTAACACCACGGTCAGGTGAAGGCTCCTCGAGAGGGCCCAGTCATTTACCTGCGAGAGAGCCCTTCCTGCCAGCATTGACTCGAGTCATGATGTCATTGAGGGTCAGGTCCCCTGTCAAAAGGTCCGGGTGATCCTAGATGTGATACCCAGAAATTTGGTCATAGAGGCCCAAAAAAGAGCAAAAACTGAGGTGACTTTGCCAATTTATGTAACAATTAAGTGTTAGGCATATTTGGGGAAATCACATTGAATTAAAAATACAGAGAGATAAAACTATTCATTTTTCCCCTATCCTATCCCCATCTAACTACTTGATGCTGGTGCACAGAACCCAGTTCCAATCTTTCTACCGTACACTGTTTATTACAAAGCTCTTCTGCATTCCTCGTCTCATGTGCTTTGCAAACAGTCTCGTTAAGCATTGTTTTACAAAGTCTGGAAACGGGGCTTAGAGAAGTCGGAAACGGGGTTTAGAGAAGTATCACAGTAACTAGAAAAGAGAAAGAACTCAGTACTGACTTCCATTGTGGGGTTCTTCCCATTTCACCTCCTAGCCTTATAAGGGCTGTCTTTTCTTACCAGAAAGGTATCAACTTTTCTCCACTAAACTCTCTGGCTTGGTGCTAGCTACCTCAACTTGGTACCATGGAATAATGGAAACAGTAAAAAGTGGGACAAGCCCAGGCCCGACTCCTGGCTCTCAAGCACAGTTGAGTAGAGACAATGACTCCTATACTTGACAGTGTCACTGTAACAATTAAGGCAGACACTACATTCAGCAGGCCTTGGGAAGTCAAAGCCACCGCGCCTCACGTTGTTGACATTAGCTAGCCTCGCCAGCTGCTCCTGTGCTCACAATGGTAAGGCGGGCACAGAGACGAGGCAGTAACACCCCATATCTCCCTCAGGACAGCCAATCCTGAGACATCAGGCTGAAAACCACACAGCCACACGCCCTTCCCATCTTACTGGCTGATGTTTCCGCTTCTCATGGTGCTTCTTTAACATTATCTTCAGGTCACTGTCCCCCAGTTCTATTTTATCTGAGAAAACAAACCAAACCACATTCACTACCATGATTCTCCAATTTACATCTTTCTGGTTACTTATGACAATCAAAAGTAAGATATTTCTGAGTTTCCCTTCTGACGCATGTGAACTCCAAGTTCCAAAAATCTTTAAAGTCACTGGATCAATGCTTCCACTTTTCCATACATTGGTAATAAATGACTTCAGTGACTCTGCTGGTCCTAAAACACACTTAAGGTTCTTAACATTCTTCTTTGCTTCCTATTTCGAATAAAAACTCTTCTCCAAACTCACAGACACTCTGGATAATTCCCTGGCTCTGGTTATCCCTTTGTCCTCTTACTCAACCGTCCCTTTGTACTGCTGTTTCAAGATTCTGCTTCCTGCCGGGCACAGTGGCTCACGCCTGTAATCCCAGCACTCTGGGAGGCAAGGCAAGTGGATCACCTGAGATCAGGAGATCAAAACCAGCCTGGCCAACATGGATAAACCCTGTCTCTACTAAATACAAATTTAGCCAGGCATGGTGGCGCACACCTGTAATCCCAGCTACTAGGGAGGCTGAGGCAAAAGAACGGCTTGAAACCAGGAGGTGGAGGTTGTGGTGAGCTAACATCATGCCACTGCACTCCAGCCTGGGCAAAAAGAGTGAAACTGTCCCAAAACAAAAAAGATTCTGCTTTCTTTAGCTCAAAATATTGGCTTCTGAGGAAAAATTTTAAAACAAAGGAAAAAGGCCCGACATGGTGACTCACGCCTGTAATCCCGGAACTTTGGGAGGCCGAGGGGCGAGGCAGGCGTATCACAAGGTAAGGAGATCGAGACCATCCTGGCTAACACAAAATACTAGCTGGGAATGGTGGCACACGCCTGTAGTCCCAGTTACTCAGGAGGCTGAGGCAGGATAATCGCTTGAACCTGTGAGGCAGAAGTTGCAGTGAGCCGAGATCGCACCACTGCACTCCAGCCTGGGTGACAGGGTGAGACCCCATTTAAAAAAGGAAAAAAAATAAACAGGAAAAAAGTCAGGCCTATCTCCAGATATTTAAAAAATGGTACAAAAACTTTACTTAAAAAAAAAAAAAAAAATCACCTAGTTCTAGGGAGCTTTGTTTTCCTGGCAGGTAGGAATCTGCCCCCACCTCCCTCTAAAGGATCTCAGGTCTCCACTGGAACGTCCCAGAATGGTGATGGCGGCAGCTCGGTTCTCACCTGCAGTTTTCATATCCGTGGTTGAAAGCGTGGGTACCACCCTCAGTGGCACCGCAGGACTAGGGGAACGCGCTGGAGAGCTCGGAAGCCATGAGCTGAGATCTTCAAAAGAAAATTGTTCTTGTAAATCCAACGTGGCTGTGGACTCCAATAGGGGAGATTGGGTAAGTGGCCATTCGGGTTCAACAAGGCTAAGCCAACAACATGGAGGCCAGGGTGCCATACTCCTTTCTGACCCTTCCCCAGAGGAGCTGCAGCACACTTAGGCCATCTAACGGCTGTTCCAGGAAGACAGACTTCAACAGAGTGCTGGGGTCGCACTGCAGCAGGCCAACAGCCACTACTACTCTCCTGTAAGGGGAAAACGGTTCTCTCAAGTGGCAAATGGGACCAGTCAGGCCCACTGTGGAGAGCCCTGCCATGCAGGGAGTTGTCCAGTGGGCTCTCATCTAAGCTCAAATGCCACACGGCCATGAGGGTGAAAAGGCCATATAGTCACTCTCCATCTGATGGCAATGTCTCAGCAACCCAAAGACCAAGGCCTTCTAAGTCCCGCTAACCACCCCAGACCAGACAACTCAGAGGGTTTCTTTCCTGGGGAGATAAATGGCTACCACTGGCTCCAACCGGACAAGCAGCCGGGATCAATCCAATCCCCCAGCTAACTCAAGTGCCCAAGGACACTCACCCTCTTCATCAGATGACAGGGCTGTGTCACCACACTCCTCTTTCACTTCCCTCAAGACCTTCAAGTAGCGCTGCTGGGTCCGCCACTCACGCTCCTCAGGTGAGCGGGATGGTGAAGGGCGTTTCTGCCGGAAGGGAAGGGCCGGGCCGCTCCTCCGCGCCATCTCCAGCAGATCCTAGGAAGAGATCAGGTGAGGGTGCATGTCATCATCCAAGTCCTGGTATGGAACAATGAACACTCTACAAGTCTACATTTTCTTCTCTTCGGGGTTAAGCCCAACCCTCACCCTCCAGATCGCAAAGAAAGATGCACATACATTAATACATCCAAATAAGAAGAATCTATATTGATTACATGATGAAAAATCCCAAGTGCTGAAGTACTCCACCAGGAATACTTTTTTATACTAGACACCCAAGTATTTCTATGCCAAAGCTTAAAGAATCACTTAAAATCCAAACAACTTTTGCCTCTAAGAATTTTCAGGTTGGTCCAGACCAGGGACCACTGGGCCTGTTATGCTACCATCCATCACAGCATTCAGAAGCCCGTGCACACCTTCACGTTCATTCCCAGGAATCCTGCTTTCCCTTAACAACCCATGATGGATCCAAAATCCATCTTTTATCTGGGTAAATACTGAAGCTACTATAATTTCAACAATTTTAAGAAGCACATTTTTTCACATATTAACATCTCTGAAATCAGGACACATCTAAAGTTTACCATAAGAAAGGATGGCATAGCTTAAATGTGTCATAGATTAACTGGTAGCATTTTTTTCTTAGTGGCAATTTTTGCATTTTGCACCTGGATTGCTTCTTTAAGTCATGATACCTGTGAGTTCACTGCCCATATTTTATATCAAGGTGCCAGTACTACTTACACTCCGGGAAGCAAGTATTTGCTTCAGCAGCCGATGGAAATACTGCTGCTGGGAGTTGAGGTAGCGCTTGTACTGTGACTTGAAGCACAGCTGCCGGTACTTGACCACCTCGGGGTTAAAGTGTCCATCTTAAAAAAAACAGAGGTACGACCATATATAAATCAGTCAACAAATCTATTTAATGAATGCTTAACATGGTAAACTTTGTACCACAAAACTTAAAGGAAAAGTAAACATTTAAGAGAATCAGGAAAGAGAACCAAAAGTAAAAGCATGCTGAGAAGCAATGACAGCTGATTTAAGGCTGACAACCATTAACAGCCACAGTAACATACTGTCTTCAGCAACACTCAAACTGATACACGGCATGGGTCAGAGTGGAATAGGCAGGAAGTCCTGCCTTGACATTCCTCGCTTGTATCCTTACCAGACTACCATACTGTTTCGGGGGAAACATGCCAACACAAGAGACAATGCTACCATTATGAAAGGTCCTATACAGAGTCCCTCTAAAGCCAAGTGGGTCTCCCTGTCTTCTGCTCTATGAGAGGAACAGTGCACCTTCATCTGTAGTGAAGCAGATCTCTGTTAACCACAGAGGGGAATTCCTTTGTACACTAATAACTCACCAAAGGAAAGAATGCTCATTTTATTTTGAACGCTTACAATAATGAGATTTAAGATGATAAGCCTGCTCTCTCTGGTCATTAGCAGCTGTCAAGTTGTCGAGTTTAATAGAACTCAAGGAACAAGCAATGGGGAAAGGATTCCCTGTTTAATAAATGGTGTTGGGAAAACTTGCTAGCCATGTGCAGAAAGCAGAAACTGGATTCCTTCCTGACACATTACACTAAAATTAACTCCAGATGGATTAACGACTTAAACGTAAGACCTAACACCATAAAAACCCTAGAAGAAAATCTAGGCAAAACCACTCAGGACATAGGCGTAGGCAAAGACTTCATGACCAAAACACCAAAAGCATTGGCAACAAAAGCCAAAATAGACAAATGGGACCTAATCAAACTCCACAGCTTCTGCACAGCAAAAGAAACAGTCATTAGAGTGAATCGGCAACCAACAGAATGGGAAAAAATTTTTGCAGTCTACCCATCTGACAAAGGGCTGATATCCAGAATTTACAAAGAACTAAAACAGATTTACAAGAAGAAAACAAGCCCATTCAAAAGTGGGCGAAAGATATGAAAAGACACTTTACAAAAGAAGACATACGTGAGGCCAACAAACATATGAAAAAATGCTCATCATCACTGGTCATCAGAGAAATGCAAATCAAAACTACATTGAGATACCATCTCACGCCAGTTCGAATGGCAATCGTTAAAAAATCTGGAGACAACAGATGCTGGAGAGGATGTGGAGAAATAGGAACACTTTTACACTGTTGGTGGGAATGTAAATTAGTTCAACCATTGCGGAAGGCAGTGTGGCGATTCCTTAAGGACCTAGAAATAGAAATTCCATTTGACCCAGCAATCCCATTACTGGGTATATATCCAAAGGATTATAAATCATTCTACTATAAGGACACATGCACACGAATGTTCATTGCAGCACTGTTTACAATAGCAAAGACCTGGAACCAACCCAAATGCCCAGCGATGATAGACTGGACAGGGAAAATGTGGCACATATATACCATGGAATATTATGCAGCCATCAAAAACGATGAGTTTCGTGTCCTTTGTAGGGACATGGATGAACCTGGAAACCATCATTCTCAGCAAACTGACACAAGAGCAGAAAATCAAACACCACATGTTCTTACTCATAGGCGGGTGTTCAACAATGAGAACACATGGACACAGGGAGGGGGGCACTACACACTGGGGTCTGTTGGGGGGAAATAGGGGAGGGACAGTGCGGGGTAGGGAGTTGGGGAGAGATAGCATGGGGAGAAATGCCAGATATAGATGAAGGGGAGGAAGGCAGCAAATCACACTGCCATGTGTGTACCTATGCAACTGTCTTGCATGTTCTTCAAATGTACCCCAAAACCTAAAGTGCAATAAAAAAAAAAAGAAAAAAAGAACTGGCCGGGCACGGTGGCTCAAGCCTGTAATCCCAGCACTTTGGGAGGCCGAGGCGGGTGGACCACGAGGTCAAGAGATCGAGACCATCCTGGTCAACATGGTGAAACCCCATCTCTACTAAAAATACAAAAATTAGCTGGGCATGGTGGCACGTGCCTGTAATCCCAGCTACTCAGGAGGCTGAGGCAGGAGAATTGCCTGAACCCAGGAGGCGGAGGTTGCGGTGAGCCGAGATCGCGCCATTGCACTCCAGCCTGGGAAACAAGAGCGAAACTCGTCTCAAAAAAAAAAAAAAAGAAAAAAAGAACTAAAGGAGAGGTGCTGCCCATTCAGGGTCTCATGCCAGAATAAAGTCACCCTGGAAAGGAAGGGGAAGAGGCTTCCTTTGCTCCTCTCCATGGTACAGGGAGCAAACTGGAATTTAAAGAGTAGTCCAAACCATTTTGCAACCCCCAATACAATAACTGATGCAACTGAGAATCACCCATGGAAGCAAAAACCACTGGGAAAAACAAAGGCTTTGGAAAATGAGACTATCACATGATCCCAAAGTATCATCCCACACTGCTTCTTAATTATAAAGTGAAAAAAGTACCCTTACAAGCAAGAGGTATCACAGACACCACTTAAGTGATCAAATGTGGCTTTACCAAAATGGAAACATTGACACTATGTGCTTCTTGAGGTGATGCAATGGGAAAGACCACATCTCCTGCATCATATTCTTACCAAAAGCCTTTAACCCAATCTAACCATGAGAAAACAAAATGACAAATATCCCCAGAAGCAGGACACTATATGATTCAAGTGTCCTGGCTCTTCAAGAATGTCAGTGTACTAGAAGACAAAAACAAAGGGGCAAAAGGCCCTAGATTCAAAAAGCTAAGGAGACATAAGGCCTAAGCACAATCCATGAACCCTGAACAGATCCTGGATTTAAACAGCCACTATAAAAGACACTGCAGGCCAGGCACGGTGGCTCATGCCCACAATCCCAGCACTTTGGGAGGCCAAGGAGGGTGGATCACCTGAGCTCAGGAGTTCAAGACCAGCCTGACCAACATGGAGAAACCTCGTCTCTACTAAAAAAAAAAAACAAAATTAGCCAGGTGTGGTGGCAATGACTATAATCCCAGCTACTCAGGAGGCTGAGGTAGGAGAATCACCTGAATCCGGGAGGCGGAGGTGGCAGTGAGCCAAGATGGCACCACTGCACTCCAGCCTGGGCAACAAAAGCAAAACTCCATCTCAAAAAAAAAACAAAGGACATTGCAGGAAAAATTTAGAAAATTTGAACATGAAATAGCCTATGATATTATCTGCTCAATGTAAAATTCCTTGAGTGTGGTAACAGGACTGTGATGATATGGGAGAGTGTCTAAGAGACATGTACATGCTGAAGTGCTTGACAGTGAAGTGTCACATTTTCTGCAGCAAAAAGTGTACGTGTACCTAAACACACACACATCAAACATACGTACGTGCAAGAAAGCAAATGGCAAGCTGTTTCTAAAATTTTTTTAAAGACCAGGCATACAGGGCACCTCTAGTATGCTGGAAATGTTTTATTTTTTGATGCAGGTGCTGGTTACACAGCTGAGTTCATATTATGTATTTTCCATATGAATCAATACATTTTTATTTTCTAAAACACAGCCTAGACAGCAAAATGTTACAAAATACCGCTCTCTGCTGGCTCAGTATCTGTATATGAAGATAAAGAGAAGAAAAGGAAAAAAGGAATACCCACATAATGTTTGCCCATCCACTGCCCCTGTCAAACAAAGAATATCGAGCTACAAACCTCGGAAAAGCTTCTGAGCAATGTGCAGAGGGTTTCCAAAGCGGAAGTTCTCCCCACTGAACAGGGCTAAGATGAGTTCATTCTGCTGCTCAACGCTGTCTTCAGGAAAGTGAGGCAGAAACTGCTGGAGGTGTTCACGTTGAGAGTCACTTAACACTTCCTGCCACGTGGAGAGGCTGACAACATCAAAGAAGATCTCAGGCTAGGAGAAACAGAAAAAGTAAACAAAAGGAAAATACATTTGTAAGTTTTTTATATGTGTGTATACACAAAACATTACATAATATATATAAGATTTACCAATTTAATCATTTTTAAGTGTAGAGATCAGTGGCTTTAAATGCATTCACATTTGCTGTGCAACTATCACTACCAAGCTTTTACGTTTTTTAAATAAACTAAAATTCCAATGCTCTTGAGATTATTAGACTACATATGAGCCACAGTCTTTATATCCAACAGTAAATAACAATCCAGAGGAAAATTATTTTAGTAGAGAATCCCACTTGGAAGCCTTCTCTGCCAACAAGGGTATGAGGGTGTGGCAGGAAAAGGTTAACACAAAAGCAATGAACTTGAGGAGCTAAAGTCACCAGCTAAGAGTGAAAAGAAACAGGATAGCGTTCACTTTCAACTCACAAGTTATATGGATACCTTGCATGAGCAAAATACTAACTTGGCCTGGAATATGTATGGTCTGAGGTGGGGAACAATTAAATATGCAGTTACAAAGTAGTTAAAGAACTGCTGATGTGTGTAGAAGCAAACATCCCGCATATACAATGTCAGAGAACACTCACCAAAAAACGTTTAAGACAAGACAGGGAAAAAGAAAGACAAAAAAGATGGCGAGGAAGGTACCTGTGGGGGAACAGAGAGGGAGAAGACAGGAGGGGGTACATGGCGGGCTTCAGTGGTCTTGGTAGTGTTCCCACCCTAACTGAAGGCTACATGCATGTTTTATTATTGTTTTACCTGTGTGTATATGTGCATCTTATAGACTCTTAAGTGTAATACATTTCTTTTTTTTTTTTTTTTTTTAAAGAGTTCAGGCATTATTTGGCTAGAGCAAGGACAGGGAGGGAGGTGGAGGCAGCAGACAGCAGAAAGATACAAAAAGGAGTTGTGACTTTATCCTAAGGACAATGGAGAGCCACTAAAGGGTTTCAGCAGCAAACAACCCAGAAATCCAACCACCTATCCCAGGTATCTTTGCATGAATGTATCAAAAACACCTCAGTCCCAATGCCCAGAATCTTCCCCTGCATTTTTGCATACCATTTTATTCCTAGCTTCTAGCTCAGTGTCTGGCATACAGGTGCCTAATGGAACAAGTGTTTGCTGACTACATGAGTAACATAAAGGGACTGCTCTGAAAGAGCATGCCCAGAAAACATGGATGTGAAGTATATACACCAACTGCAGTACAGCTGTTACTACAGCGGAGAGAGGATCAGAGAACAGCATACTGGTGGCTTTCATTTTATCCATAATATTTGACATACTACGAAAGAAGAATGTGAAACAAATAAACTAAATAATCCCTTATAAGACTGGAGGACGCACAGATGACCGTTTGCTATATCATGCTCCACACCTGTATGTTCAAAATATGGCAAAACCAGAGAAATACAGAATTAAATGAATGTTTTCATGTATATAGTGGCTTGCAGATAATAAGCACTTAATAAACAGTAGCCACCTTAATAATGATTATACATCGTGCCTATGAAAGTGGTCAAAAACAAGCTGCCATCCTATCCCAGGACATGTGCTATTATTGAGTAGATGGTTACCTTATGGATTCAGAAATATGTGTAGATTTTATTTAATGTTCCACAACATGGTAACCATTTTAATGTTAATCGCACATATATAATTCTGCTTTTGAAATACACTTTTTTAATGTTTATTTTCTATTAGTTAAGTGGCTTTATTGACATAATTGAACATAACAATGTATAACATTTATTAGTTTCCCACTGAAAAACTTCCCAGTGAAACTGTTTCCAGTAGAACACAGGTCCAGGCATTAAGCATTTCCAATAATGTTCTATGTTTGAAAAGGTGGTGGTGACCTGAACCAGAGTCCTTGTCCATGCTTGCAATGGGACTCAATATTATCCTGCTGGGCAAAAGAAACAGCTAACAGATATAATCGTGCTATGACTGAAAAAAGCCAGGAGCACAAAAGATGCCAGATAGCCCACTGGTTGAAAATAAGAGCAGACACCACTACCTCTCCCATGTACCAATATGCTCTGAATCTAAAATAAGCCCTGGCAGCAAACTAAGAATGACAGTCTATTTCCTATGGTTCATTGAGTTTGGGCTCCACAGATAACACTGTCAGAAAAGCAGCTATAGCTTAAGGGGTCTGGACATTTGCTCATCCAAACATAAACAACAATTAGCTCATTCAGATTCCTGGGTCCCTAGTCAGTTGTTGGGATGAGAGCAAGCATGGGGCAATCTAGGCCTGGGACGAACAATCCCAGGCTATGATGAATTCCCTGAGTCACCAGGACCCTCAGGGGCTTAAGGCCCTAAACAGAAATTCCACTGCCAGCCTTAGCACCATTAGCAGTATTGTAGTGGCCTCCACTATACTCTACTGCCAATCAATCCATAACCACAGTGTACACCCTCTTCGCGACTGCATTTTTAGACTACATATCAAATTATTAATGTGAACCTAACTACATTTACTGATAAACATGTACTTCATAAATATCACAGAATGAAGTGTCTCAAATAGTTGAAAAGAACCGAACAAATAAAGGGACCTAACCCTAAGTTTAAAACAAAAGCATTTAAAAGAAATACTGCAACTATTAGCTAAAAGATTTAATAACATAGTAAGACACTGGGTCAGGGAGGGATTAAATGCCAAATATTTCACAGTGAGGATTAAGTACTCATAACGCTCTCCTGGTTTTAGTAGAAAAGATACCCCACTTACATATTTTCTTATATTTGTTTTCCATTATTTCTTCCCCTCTACTATATATTTTTTTCTATTTTTAATTATTATTTCAGTAGTATTGGGGGAACAGATGGTGTCTGGTTACATGGGTAGGTTCTTCAGTGGTTATTTCTGAGATTCTGGTGCGCCCATCCCTCAAGCAGTGTACACTGCACCCAATGTGTAGTCTTTTACCCCTCACAACACTCCCATCCCTCCCCCCGAAGTCCCAAGTCTATTATCATTCTTATGCCTTTGCGTCCTCAAAATTTAGCTCCCACTTACAAGTGAGAACATAGGATATTTGGTTTTCCATTCCTGAGCTACTTCACTTAGAATAATGACCTCCAACTTCATCCAGTTTGCTGTAAATGCCATTATTTCATTCCTTTTTATGGCTGAATAGTATTCCATGGTTAAAATATAAAACTTTTTTAAATGGATGAAAATTATCTTTTTAAAAATAGGGGCAAGGCGCAGTGGCTCACGCCTATAATCCCAGCATTTTGGGAGGCCGAGGCTGGTGGATCACAAGATCAGGCATTCAAGACCAGCCTGACCAACATGGTGAAACCCCATCTCTACTAAAAATACAGAAATTAGCCAGGCATGGTGGCATGCGCCTGTAATCACAGCTACTTGGGAGGCTGAGGCAGGAGAACTGCTTGAACCTGGGAGACGAAGGTTGCAGTGAGCTGAGATCATGCCACTGCACTCCAGTGTAAGTGACAGAGCAAGACTCTGTCTCAAAAAGAAAATAATAATAATAGGGTTTATATCACATTATCAAGTTATTTTGACATGGTTTCTTTCTTTTTTTGAGACAGAGTCTCGCTCTGTCATCCACACTGGAGTGCAGTGGTGTGATACCAGCTCACCGCAACCCCCTCCTCCTGGGTTCAAGCGATTCTCCTTCCTCAGCCTCCCGACTAGCTGGGATTACAGGCACCCACCATCACACCTGGCTAATTTTTGTATTTTTAATAGAGACAGGGTTTCACTATGTTGGCCAGGCTGGTCTCGAATTCCTGACCTCAGGTGATCCACCAGCCTTGGCCTCCCAAAGTGCTGGGATTATAGGTATGAGCCACCTCATCCAGCCTTAAACTTATGATTTTCACATCCTTTTTGTTTTTTTAATTGTATTTGGGCTCTGGGGCACATGTGCATGTCCTGCATCCTGCAGGATTGTTGCATAGGTACATGCATGCCATGGTGGTTAGCTGTCTCCATATCCCACCCCGTTGTCTACATCAGGCATTTCTCCCGGTGTTATCCATCTTTTTTTTTTTTTTTTTTTTTGAGACGGAGTCTTGCTCTTGTTGCCCAGGCTGGAGTGCAGCAGCACAATCTCAGCTCACTGCAACCTCCACCTCCCAGAGTCAAGCAATTCTCCTGCCTCAGTCTCCTAAGGAGCTGGGATTACAGGCGCTAAACACCAAACCCAGCTAATTTTTATATTTTTAGTAGAGACGGAGTTTTGCCATGTTAGCCAGGCTGGTCTTGCACTCCTGACCTTGTGAACTGCCCACCTCAGCCTCCCAAAGGGGCCGGAATTACAGGCCTGAGCCAAGCGCCCAGGCAACATGTTATTAAACATGCAGAACATAACTTATGTTTTCCTCCTTAATCAGAATATTAAATAGACTCTAGACTTTAAAAAAAAAAAAAAAAAACATAAGACAGGCTGCCTACAATGTAGAAAATGAACAAAAGGGAGCACAAAAGACTGGAAATGTAGAATGGAAAAGGTTTCCCCTAACTGTTACAAGGAAGCTGACAGAGAGGAAAAGGTCGCAACCATGTCATTACTCACATCCTCCAGAAGGTCCTCAGGCAGACTAACTCTGGTTCCTCCCAGGAGGCAATCCTCCATGATGCGCGTGCCATGGCCATCTCCACATGGACCAAGTTCCAGGGGATCTGTCAGCATATGGTCTAAGGAATCCATTGTTTCTTCTCCACAGGTACTCTGGACAAAGACATGCATCTTGAGACAGAAAGGCAGAAATTCCAGGGATATAGTTGACGCTAACACTCCAGAAAAACATTCAACCTCCAGCCTGTTCTTACACCTTATCCTTGCACCTAATTACAGCTAAACAGCTCTTCTCCCACCCTTCCACCACAGCATTCCCACTGGAATTTTCAAGTCTTATCTGGAAGAGCTCTTTTCTCAGGATGCTCCCACAGTAACTCCTAAATTCATAAATTTCATATGCCTGCATTTTACAGATGAGTAAAATAAGGCTGAGATTAAATGATAAACAAATCACAATCTATAAGTTAGACTTCCCAGACCAATAATCACTCTCCCAATTTCTTTAACAACTGTTTTTTAGCCATTAATTATCTGTTATTGGCTGGGTGCAGCAACTCACGCCTACAATCCCAGCACTTTGGGAGGTCGAGGCAGGCAGACCCCTTGAGTCCAAGGGTTCAAGACGAGCCTAGGGAACACGGCAAAACCCCTTCTCTGCAAAAAAATACAAAAATATCAGCCAGGCACGGTGGCGCATGCCTGTAGTCCCAGCTACTCAGGAGGCTGAGGTGGGAGGATCGCTTGAACACAAGAGGCATAGGGTGCAATGAGCCATGATCACTCTACTGTGCACTCCAGCCTGGGCGACAGAAACCCTGTCTCAAAAAGAAAAAAAGAAAGAAAAGAGAAAGAGAAAGTATTATTTGTCGTTCTTTCACAAAAGAAAATTTGCTGAAAATTCACATACACTAGTAAAACACAAATGCTAACGGTCACTTTATGAGGTGCTATTAAGAGCCAGGCCTTTCCCATACCTTATTTAATTCCTACAATTGTGCAAAGTAGGGTTATGGGGGTTATTACACCAGAATTAAAACTGAAAATCAGAGGAGGTCAATAACTTGCCCAACCCCAAGGCAATACTGAAACTCAGGTCTGCCTGCAAACCCATGTGCTTAATACTACACACAATACCTGTTGCATAATCTCGCAACATTTAAATAATGAAAAGGAAAGTTACTGATATGACTTTATTAGTCCACATAAATTCCTAAGGTTCCACACACCTGACCATGACAACCAGCAAAGTGAATAGCCAATCTGCCTTTAGTTAGTCCATCTGATCCATATAATCACGTTATTTTTCTCCTTCCTGTAATAACTGAACACTGTTGATCACCTTTAGGAAACTACATATTACAACATTATCAGACTGATGGCTGGGATCAGGTGTAAAATTGACAGCAAGGACCGCACAATGCTAACAGGACCCCAGGGAGCTTAAATTCAATCACTCTACTAACACGTACTAAATCCATCCTTTCCAGCTCCTAATCCTACAAAGTGGGCTAAAAAGCACACTAAAATGAAAAGAAAAAAGGATGTTAACAGTCAAAACACCAGAATTCCAGCCAAGGTCTGTTACTAATTCCCACTAGCATTCCACAAATCTTACCACAGCAGGTGTCAATTTCCTTATTTGATGAAGGGGAGCTGGACCAGGTCCTCCTTCCCGTTATTTCCAATTCTGGAATCCTGCAATGAATAATCTCTAGATGACGAACAGTGTATATTACTTACTACAGGTACTTTTCAAAAATTTTCAAATGATAAAGAACAAACCTAAAATAACTACATGTAAAATGAAGCATGTTCCACTAAATTATTTCAAGTTCCCTTGAAGAGATTTCACATCCATGTAAAGACACAGCAGAAACTTTAGAGTTGGGTCAAGGCAGCTGGGTGGTCCCCAAACAACTGTACCCCACATCCCCCTTCAGCACACGGTGAAATGACATCCTGATTATGCCTAAATAAGTGAAGTGGGTGAGAGGGCACACAGCTTATGAGTTTAACAAAACTTTAAAATACCAAAAAAAATTGCAGAAGCAACCTGATGCTCAGAATAAAACCTTCTTAACAGAACTAGCATAGAAAAGACTATCAGCTGCAAAGTCAGGGTCCTACCTGCCTCTTAGGAGGTCCATCTCTATTTATACAACTTGCTCACAACTTTCTTCAATGACAGTGCGTGTCTAGCTAAATTTCATCTAGTCCAGTGACAACCTTTGCACTGCCACTATTCTGAACAGGATGTCAAAACACCAAAACCAGGCAATTGCCAGGGAGTCGGACCCCGGAAGCCGAGGATTTCCAGATCTTGGGGCGTCCTGGACCTCTTTACTAGAGCAGGAAGGCCTCTCCCCACTGGCTTTTCCTCTGCACCTGGTCTAACTTTCCCCCGGACCCTCCCCAATGCAGAAGGTAAACCCTTGGGTCCTTCTGGAGTAACCGCCGTTTCCAAACCCGTCAACTCCGCAGCAAATCCCCTCCGGCGCCAGCCCGGCAGGCCCAATCCCGGGGTCCAGTCCTCAGAACCGCACGACTCGGCCCCGCCCCTCCCCCACGCCGTGCCTAACCCTAACCACCCGCCTCCCGCGTCGCCCCGCTCCCAACGCCCCGCTCCCGCTCCCCACGCCCACAGGGATAACGACTTTGCGGACCCAGCGGCCCGCTCCCCAGAAACACTTTAACCCTTTCGTCGCCCCTTGCCGGCCCTCACCTGAATCGCTGGCGCTGGTCCCCTAACCCGCTGCCCCTCTACGGCCGCGGGCTCTCGGACGCGCTCGCTCCCGCAAGGAGTCTGGGTGCGCGCACGCTCCGGGCCCGGGCGGCGGAAGGGGCGGGGCAGCGCAGGGCGGGGTCTGGAGAATGCCGGGGCGGGGCCACAGCGGGCGGGGCCAGGAGCGGCGCGGGCGAGCACGTGGGCTGGCTGGGGTGCCTGCGAGCGGCTGGGCCTGGGAGTGCAGGTTCCAGCCAGTTTGCGCGTCTCTCTTGATTTAGGAGCTTCCAGGTCTCACCTGATTTAGGAGCTCCCAGAGGTGCTAGACTGTACCTGTCTTTGCTTGACCGCGAATCAAAGTTCCATAGCCCATGAGCGAAGGCACGTCTATTAGCTGACGTTTGCAGAGCGCATACCCTGCCCCAGTCCCGACGCGAAGCACTTTCTATCCACCGTCTTTGTGCTGCGGCGCCGGGAGCTTTTAGAGCCCATTTTACAGTTGAGGACAGAATGCGACCTAGGCCTGTGCCTTGGAGTTCCCTCATTCCTCCTTCCCGTCCCCGGGCTCTCGATGTCCAGAAAGAAAGTACACACATCGATGGATCACATTTTAAGTCAAACTCCGTCATATTCCTCTTATCCACTGGGTTTTGCTTAGAACGGCTTCACACTGCTTATTCCAGGTACTACCGGCCGTTGCGCAGAGACCATTCTCAGTTCTCTGTGTGGATGGAACGCAAGGAGCCGAACGGCTGAGATAATGTTCCTCCCTTCCTAGAAAAGAGTGGTTTCCAAACAACTCAATCTCTGTTCCTCTACTGGCTCCACAAATGCCCTAAGTTCCTGTTACACTGTTGAGAGGCTCTTGAATTCCAAACGACCAAGTATAAATGGCAGTGGAACATCACTCCATAGTTGTTACCGATAATTCCATTACCTTGGGACAGTGACGAGACCAGAAAGAGAAAAGAGTAAAAACACTGTAAACTATAATTTTTGATAGACTTTGGTTTTTAGAGCAGTTTAAAGTTAACAAAAAAATTGAGCAGAGGGATCGGAGATTTTCCAAATACTCCCCACCCCTCTCCCACATGCATCGCCTCCCGTTTATCAACATCCCCTACCAGAGTGGTATGTTTCTTAGAACTGGTGAACCCGGCCGGCCAGGCGCGGTGGCTCACGCTTGGAATCCCAGCACTTTGGGAGGCCGAGCCAGGTGGATCACAAGGTCAAGAGACCATCCTGGCCCACACGGTGAAATCCCGTCTCTACTAAAAATACAAAAATTAACTGGGCGTGGTGGCGCGCGCTGTAGTCCCAACTACTCGGGAGGCTTAGGCAGGAGAATCGAACTCAGGAGACGGAGGTTGCAGTGGGCACAGATCGCGCCATTGTACTCCAGCCTGGCGACAGAGAGAGACAAACAAACAAAAAGAACTGATGAACCTACATTGATACATCATTACGCACCATCACAGTATAATGCAGAGTAATTTCACTGCCTTAAAAATCATCTGTGCTCCACACATATAAGTATGTTCATTGCTTATAATAGCACTGTTTATAATAGCAAAGACCTGGAACCAACCCAAATGCCCAACAATGATAGTCTGGATAAATAAAATGTGGCACATATACACTATGGAATACTATGCAACCATAAAAAAGAATGAGTTCATGTCCTTTGCAGGGACATAGATGAATCTGGAAACCATCATTCTCAGCAAACTGACACAAGAACAGAAAACCAAACACCACATGTTCTCACTCACAGGCAGGTTTTGAACAATGAGAACACATGGACACAGGGAGGGGAGCATCACTCAATGGGATCTGTTGTGGGTTGGAGGGCTAGGGGAGGTATAGAGGTGGGTAGGGAGATTGGGAAGGGATAACATTGGGAGAAATACCTAATATAGGGGAGGGGAGGGGTGGGATGGAGGCAGCAAACCACCAGGGCAAGTGTATACCTATGTAACAATCCTGCAAGATCTGCACATGTACCCCAGAAATTAAAGTATAATTTAAAAATATATTTTTTAAAAATCATCTGTGCTCTGCCTGTTCATCTCTCCCTCTCCTCTACCTCTGGCAACCGCTGATCTTTTTATTGTCTCCATAGTTTTGCCTTTTTCCAGAATGTCATCTAGTTGAAATTAAATAGTATATAGCCGTTTCAGATTAGCTTCTTTCACTTAGTAATATGCATTGAAGCTTCCTCCATGTCTTTTCATGGCTTGATAGCTTCTATTTCTTTTCAGTGCTGAATAATATTCCATTGTGTCATATACCACAGTTTTATCTATTCACTTCCTGAAGGACATCTTCATTGTTTCCAGGTTTTGGCAATTATGAATCAAGCCAATTGCCAAAGTGCCTTCCAAAGCAGCTGTAGCATTTTGCATTCCCACCAGTCATGAATGGGAGTTCCTGTTGCTTCACATCCTCACTAGTACTTGGCGTTGTCAGCATTCTGAATTTTGGCCATTCCAATAGCTCTGTAGTGGTATCTCATATTTTTTTTGTTTTTGCTTTTAATTTTTATTTTTTGTAGAGATGGGGTTTCGCCATGTTGCCCAGGCTGGTCCCCAACTCCTGGGCTCATGCAGTCCACCCACCTCACCCTCCCAAAGCACTGGGATTACAGGCATGAGCCAGTGCACCTGGCCCCATATTGTTTTAATTTGCATTTCCAGGATGACGTAAGATGTAGAGCCTCTGTCACATGCTTATTTACCATCCCTCTCTCCCTCTCTCTCTCTCTACATAT